TGCCAAAGAAGAGCACCCACTAGGTTAGATTTATTTGCTCGGTAAAGAGTGAAAGTAAGAGTTCGGCTGCTTTGATTATGTAAGTTGGGTACAAAGGCGTGAAGTCCAGTGGGGTTGTCGAAAATCATACTAAGAGCTGAATCGATGAAGCCGTGGTTGATAAATTTTGAAGTGCGACGTCTTCGTCCGTGTCGGCGGTTGATTCGCGGAAGAGGTGCGGTGAAGTATGGGATAATTTTAGTATTAGAAATTGCTTCCTGAGTAGACCGAAAGGATAAATAGTCTGAAATAATCGTATCCAGAAGAATTCTGCATCAGTAAGTCGATGTAAATCATTTACAACTTCAAGAACTTGAAAGGACATGTCGGAAACGGAGTGCTCGTGTTGGCGAAAGTGAGTATACAGGACACTATTGGAAGTGTCGTGGCGAATATTACGAACGTGTTCCGAAACCCTAGCTCGCAGACTTCGTTTGGTTTGGCCAATATACTGTGGTCCACAGCGCTTGCATGTGACGCAGTATACGACCCCACGTATGGAACATATAGGCGGGTGAGGGGGCAGGGTGTACGTGGCGACGAAGCATTTGCCAGATGTGAAACTGCGAGTGTACTGGGCTTCTGAGATGAATGCGCAGCATCTACAATTATGTCCGCAAAGTATTGAATTGTCGGAGTAGGCCACATAGTAAATAGTGGAAACGTTGCGGAAGCCCACGCCTGTAGCTATTAGGCGCGCTGGGGACGCAGGCGTTGGCTCATCCCCAGTCGGCCAACTGCCTGTAGCCAAAAGGCTCGAACCGGACGCAGGCAGTCGCCCATCCGTTCGGCCTGTAGCACCCCTAGAGGTGCAGGAAGCCATGAAGTACAGATGATGTATCTCCATGGTGAGTAGCGTTATTTGCATAGGTGTTCCTGACGTATACCGCAGAAGGCGTTGTGGCAAATGGGTCAAGATGTAAGAGGAGTAAGAAGCCAGGAGCTTGCAGCTCCAAATGATAAAGTGGCCTGGAGATGGTATAAAAGAGAGAGGCGTTAGGGGGAATGGTATTGAAAAGTAAGGAGTACGACAGGTCAGTGCGTACGAAGGTGCAGGGGTTAATGTTTTAGCGGTGAGTTTAAAAATGGGATTAAGCAGATAGAAGCAGTAAATATCTGGAAAAACCGAAGACTAAGTGAAGCAAGTAGGATACATAAAAGACTTGTAAAAAATGGGTAGAGAATTAACCGTGGAGATAAAGGTCCTAAGTCTGGTAACCACATACTGATGATGTAAAAAACAACGCGGACATTTTAAACAATGCAATTTTTGAAAAACAATAATTTTAAAAAAAGTTTTTATTAAAAAATGCATAAAAGCGGGAAGGGCGAGGATGTAGGCTGTCGACTGTGTGGGGTGATGAATGAAGGGGGAGTAGATTATGTTGTGGGACATGGTAGACTGTGGGGGTAGGGCAAAGGCAACGAGAAGCTTCTAGGCAAATAGGTACCCGTCAGTGATGCTCGTAGACAAGAATAAACGTATGACATTTGCCTACCCAAGCAAAAACATTAGAATTTTAATGAAATATTGAAGCAATAACGATTCCGTGAAGTAATCCCCCATTCTTCTATCCAGTAATCACGCCCAAAAGCTCTTCGATTTTGCTCCGGCCTTCCTTCACTGTTCTTAAAAAACTCTTCGTAACTGGTCCTATGTAGTATCTAAGATGAAGACCT